AAGTGGGACTGAAGATTAAGAACGTGATCACATCCTTTCAAACTTTAAACCAGAGATAAGCTTACTAACACCACTAGACAAGTCAAGTGGGTCAGCCATATTTGATCTGCGGAACTGTTAGTTCGCGGATCAACTTTGGTTTTGAATCTGGCCTAAGGAGTCCTGAAGAATCAGCAGGCTTGGAAGTTTTTGGCACAGGTATTGACTGTTAGCAGTATAAGTAAACCCCATATGATTTAAAGCTTTTTTTTTCGTGAAATAGGCCCCCGATAATCCAGCACAGCAAGCTGCTTAGATCATTGAGACTGGTTGTATTATCCTTATTTTCCTGATGCATACAGAGACCATCCTCAAGTGCTTCTTCCAGTTGAGACAAAACGTTGATTTTGAAGGCGTTATCTACACAAAATAGAGAGGTGTAAATATCCTTTTTTATAATAACCCATGGTAAACCCCATTATTACACTTTGATTCACAAATGAAATCACTCTTGATGCTGGCTGTTTGATGTAAGTAAATAATTCATCAACTTGAAATGGTTTTATCCACTAAAAGCCGACAGAGACCTGCCAGAGTTTCCTTCAAAATCCTGACTGATAAATATTTCACTTCAAAGAGTGCAAATTCTGGTTAATTTTCTACTTGATATAATTTGCAATACAACTGGTAAGCAAATGCTTTTTATCACACAGTATCTAATGGTATTCGAAATTCTCTGATGGTCTTTTTGGCTGCTGATCTTAGGTCAATGGTGCTTTTTACTGAACACCCCAGGACTCACTATTCTATATGGACATTTGAGAAACACTTGAGGAATATACTGGGAATTCTACTCAATTTTTATTTAGGTATAATTATCAAATTGAGAACATTTTGTTTTGAAGCACCTTTTTTCCACTACAGCCACTTATTGAGAACATGTAAATGTAGTCTAGTAGTAACATATTGCTTTAAGACCTTTAAAAAGGATAAATTTGAAAATAATTTTGGCGAAATTTTCGATCCACAATTTTTCCCTAAGAGGACAAGTTGTGAACATATCAGAGAAAACATATCTTGGTTACTTTTCAACAATTTCTATCTCATACCTTTATATAGTCATTCAATAATACTGTAGCCAAATGTAGACCCTATTATGTATAAGCTTTGGAACACGGTTTTTAAGATAATAAGGATATAATGTTTTTAAAATGACAAGTCTTTGTAAAATATTTGTTATCAATCACATGGCATCCTTTATCTTTTTTTTTTTTTTACAAAATAAATAAATAAATAAATAAATAAATAAATAAATAAATAAACCCCTTTGCCTTTATGTTGCAATGCACAGGCCTACCCAACTACCAGACTTGGCACATAAGGATCCTGAATTAACCGGTATATCGGACCACGCTACCCGTTTTCAAGGTGTGTGTCAGATCGCATTTCGGAGTATCAGTCAGAACACCGACAGGATGTTCTCACGCTCGGCTGTCACCTTGATTGGATATTAAACGATTGTCATAAAATCACTATTTGATTTTAAAACCGGGTGCATAAATTTGAAAACCACCTAGAACAACCTTAGACTGCCACATTAATCTAATACAATGCAAAAAAGCCCTATCAAAAGTGGTTAAAGCATTCAAACCAAATGTCGTAAAGTCCCCATATACCCCCATAGAGACAATACAATAGAGTACTGTAAAGTAAGAGTAGGCCTACAGTCTAAGGTTGTTCTAGGTGTTTTTCAAATTTATTTACCCGGTTTTAAAATCATATAGCGATTTTACGACAATCGTTTACTATCCAATCAAGGTGGACAGCCAAGCGTGCTTGTGCCAGCGGTCGTCCTACAAAATTTGTTCTGGGGTGTGATACTCCGAAATGCGATCTGACACACACCTTGAAAACGGGTAGAGTGGTCCGATATACCGGTTAATTCAGGATCCTTATGTGCCGAGTCTGATAGTTGGGTAGGCCTGAATGCATTTCCTACTTAAAACACCTGTGGACAACCATAAGAAAATGCAAGTGTTTGGGAAATGTCTCTCAAAAATCTGCAGAACTTTTTTGGGTCAGATCAAGGACATATATAGACGTCTTATACGTCCTTGGTTAGATTTAGAAATTCTATTTATTTTTTTATTATTTTTTTTTTATTTTTTTTTATTTATTTTTTTTTTTTAGCTTTATGACAATATGATTATATAAAGAAGGGGGAAGATTTCACTGATGTTTACATATTGACCAACAAATGTCAACTTTAAGGTACAGTTTGATTACTCTGTATGTCTACAGTAAAATATCATGTTAAAACTTTTACATGGGGCTAAATACAATCTTGACTACCAGCAATTCCATGCAACAGTTAGATAGGTAAGATTCTTATAATACTAACCAAACTACTGACAAAGCTCTATATATGATTTAGGGCACCAAATTAAACAATCAACAAATATTTTGGCACTTTAAATTATATCACTCTGTAGAATTCCAAGCTTAGAAATAATAACCATTTTCTTGTCAGTCACCTTAGGACAAAGTAATGATTGAATCTATTTTCACTTAACTGTTTACATGAAAAATGTAGCTTTTAACAGAGACAGTAAACATAATCAACATAGCTAAAGGCTATTTTGCTCATCTCAAGCAGAACTGATTTAGGTACAGGACTTAAAACTCTAGAGAAATCTATCCTGACCTGAATAACCCCATTATCCTTAGCTACTCTTCTAAAATCCCACATCTGAATATTCTAAAACACAGGGGAGGGCAGCCACATTACACTCTACAAATGCACTACACACAGAAACCTATTGATCTTCAGAGCCAGCGGGGGACCCGTGTTCTCTGTCAGACCATCAGTTATACTTCAGTACATAAGAGCTCATTCAGAACCGCAGATCTAACTAACAGGACTAACAGATCCGCAGATCAAATATGGCTGACCAACTCGAACGCGTATTGCGTAATACCCGCAGGAGATCTGTTCAGTGTCTAATCCTGAATTTAGCTGTGAGCTTTGCAGTGGGTCAGCACATTTGACCTGCAGATCTGTTAGTCCGCTGTTTTGAATGCGCTCTAAGTACTAGTTACGTCGCTAAGTTGGCCACTGTATGTAACACCCCATTTCCATAGATTAGATCGACCTACTTTAGATCGACCTAACTCCCTGGGGGTTCACGCTAAATAGCTGTCAGCCGGGCGGACACGAAAGTTAATTATCCCCTTACAGCTTGTAGTAGGCGGGACGGACATTTAAGTCGGATTATCAGAAAGTAATCTAGTGAGACTCCCCGATCTAAAATCTATGGGAATAGAGCCTAACATACAAGAGCACAATTATGTCGAGGTGTAGTCGAGTGAACATTGAGTAAGAGTACCTAATTTATCCAATGGCTGGCGCTCTGAACAATAGAATGAAAGCACTAGAGCATATGTAAAAACAGGCAAGCATGTCAGCAAAATACAAGTGCAAGAGCCAGCCGTGGGATAAGATGAAAAAAACAAGGCGAAATAATTATGCTAGTGCACAATATTGTTATTTGGTCAATTTTAATGCAATGTTACATAATACTGAACAGCACCATTACCACAAATTTTAATCATGGTTATATGTACAGATACAGTGTGTCTAGGACACAGTGTGTCTGTACATAAAAATGATTTTATGAGATTATTATATTACTGACCTTTAAATTAAACAACAACATGTAACTTTCAGGCTAATGGCCTTCTCTCAAAAAATTGCAACAAATGTATTAAATTGTTTCCGTTGTAATTTTGGTCTGTCTGTCCACCTCTGCATGTCTGTCTGTCTCTCTGCCATTAACTTTCACGCAGGAATTCAGACAGGGAGCTAGCAATAAATCAAATATGTGATCCTACACCTATCATATCCAAATCAATACACTTTTCCCATCTAACACCAAAAGCCATTTACAGTGGCACGAAAACAATGAGAGAAACTGATTTATGGTGAAGGAGCCACTCGGTTGCGGTAACAGTCAGGCCATTTATAGATGCTTCATCACAAACCTTGTTATAACCTGATCAAAACTGGGTCCAGTGGGAAACTATTCCTTATCTGGTTTGACTACTCAAGGGATACACCAAAATGTCATCCTTTATTTACCAGTACCTCTCTAGCTTCCCACTTAGGCCTTATCAGGTTCAGATTCCCCCATGTGTCCTAAACATGTACATATTGTTAATTTTGCTTGATTGCCCTATGGTATTGCGTACCCCCTGTTGTTATCAAAACCTAAGTGATGGTCGGCACAAAAAATCAATCATGTTCTTTTTAGATACTAATTATTCTAAGTTCTAATTATCACGCACAGCAGTAGAACTGATTGGATCCATGTCCTCATGCTGTTCACTTGCCATGTCCTTCGTTTAATCGAAGAGATATATGTCAAACAGAAAAAAATCTCAACATACCTATGAAGAACCACAAACATATTTTTTAAAAAATCTTCCATGTTTTGACTTAGACTGCTAATCTTGGATAGCCTACTTCACAAATCATTGTCAAGACTATAACAAGAGGCAAAAGCGAGAGAGAGAGAGAGAGAGAGAGAGAGAGAAAGAGAGGAGGAGAGACTAGAAGATTAAGGTTATAAACCCTGAAATACATCATTATCAGAGGCAGATGGAGGTTGTCTTCTGGACCTTCCAGAAGATGGTCAGAATTTTTCAAGTTTTACATTGACGGGCAACTAATTTTTTTTCCGTCAGAAGACAGTCAAAAATGGAGGATGGATAAACAAAGATAATTTGAAAGACTGTCAGAAAAATATCTCTGGATCTGTCCCTAATTATATGAGCTTTTTTCATTAATTTTCTCATTCATGTTTCAATCTATCATTTCTGGCATATACAAAAAACTATGCTAATCACATATGACTAAAAGGTACAACTGTCATTTTCAATACAGGATTATTTTAAGTCAGCTTGCAGGAGAAAATTTTCTTGGCCAGTGAGCTCAGGAAAAAAAATCAATGAGAATGAGTTTTCAAACACTCCAAAACCTAAGACTCCAGGATTAAAAGTGGGAATATACACACGAAGCCAAAAAGTCTCTCACTTTTTTCCATTTCCCTTTTCTTACCTCCTCTAAGCTCCGAAGAAGCCCCAATATACTGGAAGTTATCCATATTGATTACATCTATAATGGGACTGACGACATTATGGCGGTCCTGAAAGAAATAATGTGCTGCACATTAGGAAAAATCACAGTTGCTGTGGTAGATGAAGTGTGAAGATTCGCACTACTGCCCATATCTTCCAAAGCAGTGTGAAGGAACACTTCCCACATTATGACTATTAACTGATGGAAGATTCCTCTTGCACCCAGAGAATGGGGTTTTCATGTCTCCCTCATATAATTTTATGTTTGTTTATTTAAAAGAATACAAGATCATGAATAGACTGAAAGTATGTAATACTGAAAAGCTCGGATATGTTTAGATCAAAGAAATATTTCAGTATGCTGATTCTGACATAAAAAGCAGCCACTACGTACTTAGCTAGACCAAGGAACAAAAGATCAAGTAGAGAGAGAAAATTAAAAGAAATGAAATCAATTTTGTCAATGAATACCAGTGTAATGTAATGAAGTACAGTTAACAAAAAGAGATTACCTTTGGCGAACTCTACCTGAAATGCTACCTACCTCAGCTACCCTCTGTAACAGAAGTCCCAACCAACCTAAATTGCACTCACAATAACGTGTTACCTACCTCAGCTACCCTCTGTAACAGAAGTCCCAACCAACCTATATTACACTCACAGTAACTTGTTACCTACCTCAGCTACCCTCTGTAACAGAAGTCTCAACCAACTTAAATTGCACTCACAATAACGTGTTACCTACCTCAGCTACCCTCTGTAACAGAAGTCCCAACCAACCTATATTGCACTCACAGTAACTTTTTACCTACCTCAGCTATCCTCTGTAACAGAGGCTCCAGCCAACCTGTATTGCACTCACAATGACTATCAAGAAAAGTTAATACTGGACCAGTGGCGACGTCTGCCCCTTTCACTCGAGAACGCATTAACCCTAAAATAATCATTCCAGTTATCAAAAATTGACTCAAAGAATCTCTGGGTTCTGCCAAAATAAATAAACAAATAAAAGAAAATAATAAACAGATATTTCTTTAGCATATATAGTGACTTTTTTAAAAAAAATAACCTGTTGAGTGAAATAATTTTGTTCTCCATTTCATTTTGGTATGAAATAAGCCATTGAACTCAAAATAATTTGGTAAACTTCCATATCTTCATAACCACCCAATCCCATATTCTTTTAACCCATTTCGTAAAATATAATTTGTATTAAATACAAGTAAATACATTGCTATACTTTACCTTCTCTCCTTTCATTTCTTAATACTTTAACCTTCTGGATTTTTGCCAGTTCTTGGCCATCTGACGCTGAAATAAAATACCATTTTCAATATTTAGTTTCAATCACACACTTTTCACAAGTATCAAGTATTTTACCAATGATTTTCTTATTCATTCAATATAAGTTAACTTGAACATGTATACTTAAATGAAAGAGAACATTTTTATGTTTTAACAATTTAGCTCATATGCAGAAGAGAGCACATATCTCATTAAAACCTTCAGTACTATACTCTTGATGGGATGAAAAAAAATTGATTGAAATTTTTTGCCTATTAATTTCTATATCACATTTATAGCATCTATATCAGGTTCATAATGGGATTTCTCTATGTGGGAGCTGCTGGCATCTGATATTGTTGCTGATAGCTTTTGCTTGGGCAGGCTGTTCATGGCATGTGTTTCACAGGTTTAAATGAAGCACTGATTTTTTTTTCAGACATGTTTTTCTCTTATGACACATTCATAAGTGCTGTACTACAATATTTCAAGTAACCAACTGTACGTATCCACACATGCACGCATGCACGCACATGTAACACACCCGCATGCACACACACTAAAACAAACAACTAATCTGGTCAACTTACCATCATCACTGTAGTCATCTACTAGAATTATTTCTTTTATTAAATGGTCTGGACTTCTGTTCAACACACTAAAATGGTAGATAAAAGCACAAATTATTATTTCAGTAGATTTTAGCAGGGATTTTAGCAATTGTAAACTGAATTTTTCCCTTATGGTAAGAGTAAACATCATTCTGATGTCCATAATAGCAGGAGCCCTCGATTGATGCAATAAATTATTGATAACATTCAACCTCTCTGGTTTCTAATAAAAGATGTTTTAAGTCAAACTAATATCATTACAAAAATAACTGCAATACTATAAAATGAATAATTCAAGAGGGTGGTGAAAATAGTAACACCTAAAGGCTATTGAATTAAATTATTTTCTGAATCAACTGAATTACTACATCTTTAGGGAAAACATATTAGAATTTCAAATGGCCAAATTACCATTGGAAATACAGTCCATTTTACTTCTGAAATACTGCTCTCAAACAGAAAAATTCTAAATGTGAAGTCCCTGTCAATATGTTTCTATCTGCAAACAACTTTAACAAAAAGGCTGACCTAGCTTGTGAAAAGAAACCTATCAATTGCTTCATCAGTATCATCAAACATGTCGACGTCTTGAATATGAAAACCAGGAATGTCTAAATGTTTTGTTTTCCAGAAAACTGAGTGTGTGTGTGTCTGTGTGTGTGTGTGTGTGTGTGTGTGTGTGCGTGCGCGCGCGCGCGTGCACGCCCGCAAGTGCCCATGGGCAAAAAACCACTATCATTTCACCTTTTCATGTCAGATAAAAAATCTGCTTCCCAACTTCATAGAAAAAAAATGATTTGCTATAGTTTTCAGAAGTCACCTAATGCTTTAAAATCAGTCTCAACAACTGCTTGAATGAATGATAAAATCCCTCAACCAAAAAGCAAAATTTTACTGTAGGTTTGGTACGTTTACAATGTGGTAATTACAAAGGCCTGAAGGGACAGACAATAAATAGAGTGCACTTAATTATAGTCAATTTCCTTTTGATTTCAAACAAGCCTGATTAAAAAAATCACCGCTTCCATTTGCAATTTAGCAATTCTGTTCCACCATCGTCGTTCTTTCCCTAGCACAAAAAGCATTTTCAGCCTTCCAGGTAAGGGGCAGACGTGACCTTTGCATACAACAAAAACCTTTTACAACTTTCCAGCTGTTTTCCATATATGATGTGATTCGTCTCTTATTGGATTTTACCTGACAATGGTGCGAAGAAGAGTGGACCTTGCCTCATTATGGAAGGTAATAATCACACTCGTTGCTGGCAGATTGTCATGCACCTTCACATCTTTGCATCTAAAACATGAAAAATAGGCATTATCTACAAATGAGTTTATTGCAGCAGGGAACACCATTATGCCCATAGCTTTTTTAAAAAATCAAATACTATTAGTACTCAGAAAATTGACAATGTGCCCCAGAGTATTTGTGCTAATGAGCAATAGCTTCTGTAAAAAATCTTATATGTTCAAAAAATGTAACTTACAATATATGAATATAATTTAAGTATAGATTACCAAGAGACACAGTTTCATATTCTTCAATTACTTGCATAGTCTACTATTATTGTCAAGACAAGGTCATGAATAATGTTACAAAACCTCTGTAGATAAGGGGAAAAAATTGTGTGCAATACCGTACACGTAAAATCTGTTAAATCAAGTTAAATACTCTAAATGACACCTACAACCACTGTCATAGCAATTTCTGGTTTCCCGTTTGATGACTTAATAAATCCAGTAAAAATTCAACAGAAGAGACACTGTGTCATTTTGATCATAAAACAGACTATGAATAAGCTTCTTCATCTCAAACGTGCAAAATTTCACTAAAAATCTTGTAAAAATTTTCAATATAGCATTTTTACTAATGTAAATAGAGGATCTCACTAAGTGATCATTGTGGCCAAAATGAAGCTTGTGTTTGAGTGAATGAGTATAAGAGAAAAAACACAGCTCCCCCCCCCCCCCAATATCTGGTAAAATGGTTTTCAGATTAGCTTGTCTGAAATAATTTTTTTCAGTGACCTAACTTATATGAGAATTAAACCACCTTTGAGCTTCAGCATTTACTTCCGATACATTAGTTCATCTCCTCAAAAAGTACAAATCTTCAATGGCAAACATTTCTGACAGCTGCAAAGACATTTCTATTAAAAGCCCAGCAGAGTGCAACATGAAGTACAAAAAAAAATTCTTCTGTTCTGCAGACTACGTCAATTATTAGCAAGCAGATTTTCATATAATAGAGATTAAAAATGAAGCAAAATGTCACACAATCATAAAACAACTGCAGTGACAACAAAAATGTGTTGACATTTAGTTTTTCAAAAAATAAATAAATTAATAGTGTGGCATGTATGAGAATAATTCATCCTTAACTTAATATTGATTAAACCTTTATGTTATTGTCATGCACTGATGGAAAGTCAAATGTTTTTCAATAGTTATGAACTTTAAATAATTAAATTTAAAGTAAAACTACAGTAATACATGTAATCAACATAAATCATCTAAAACTAATATTCATTTGCCCATAGCAGTTTTGTGGTTATTTCGAATTATAAAATAAAAATTGTGAATATTTCAAGGTAAAATGTTCACAGTTAGAGAACCTAAAAAAAAAAAGATTGCACCTTGAACCTGTACCTACCGCCAATTTCTTGTGTCAGGAACATCTCTATTGCTTTTGATATTATCACTAGCAACTTGGTTGAATTTATTTTTGGCATAAGCATCCTGTCCAGGTTGGACCTTTTTTTTATCTACATAATTTTTTTCATCAAAATATTGCCACGAAAGCCGTGTGTCAAGGGAAGGGTCTTCATTTGTCAGTTCCTTCCCCCGTGTCTTTTTGATTTCTTCAATTGCCTCTTCTTTCAATTTCAAGGCTTTATTTTCTTCCTGGAAAGAGAAAATGGAATGGTGTGACAATATTGATCACTGTCAGTACATTATTGACAATTTATTGACAAGCCAATGTCCATGTCAGTGCAACAATTCCAGGCTGTTTTCTAAAACAATATCAAGTCCTGAACTCATGTGACAAAATCATTCCCTCAGTAATTCTCTCATTTCACTCTCTCTGAGCTCAGTTTGGAATAATACTCAGTTTGGGTAAGACTTGCCAGCCCAATACCACGGCTTCATAATAACGAGGCCAGAAGAGCAATTGTGTTGAAATTTGTGCATTAACCTCTGACACATACATAATTTCAGTAATAAGTAATCTTTCTGAAAGTATTTTTTTTTAACCTCAAAATAATAGTTGTTCAAATCAAGGGGAAACAGGTACAATTCTTATATACATATAGTATATATACAACCCTAATACCAATGGGTTAATTTGTATCTGGAAATATTCGGGCTTGCAATACCTTGGCAGAACCTGCAATATCTAGATTTCAACATTTCCTTTTGCCTGCAATATTTTCAACTTTCACCCTGTCTGCATACTATTTCAGCAACGAGTTTTTATCCTAGATTTTTCTATCATATTCTAAATAACATGTTGATGGACACTGACAAAAATGATTTTTTTTAATCCATAAAATAAGCCATATTGTGTTTTAGCCAAACTGTGTGCTGCTTCACTGAGCATGTTGTGAGCCCAGCCAAGTTAATAAGATTCTTCAAACTGAAAATAATCATGCAGGAAATAATGACTGTCTTTGCGAACTACCACAAGGGCAATCCTCAGATAATTGGAAAATTAGATTATATCTTATTAAGAACAGATGGATTAGCTTATTATTCATACAGTACCATGAAACTTTTGAGCATTGAAAATATGTTGTTTCAGTGAGATTCAGCAGAGAATTCAAGGTTTGATTTTCGATCTACTTCTTTATCCTAGTTAACACAATAAGAACATCCATCTCTATAAAAGGGATGGTTTTTCTTCTGCTACCATAAAAATATGGAGTAAGATAAAAGAGGTGCAACTTATCATTTCAAACATTAAACAGTTTCAAAATCGCATTTGATGACCTCTGTGATAAAAGCAGCTTGTTGGTATGAAATCAATCAAGTAAAACTTCAGAAAAAAGAGGAAAAAATTGAAAAATACACCAAATTTTCTCCAAATAGCAGGTCTGGCAATAGCCCCTTTCACAGGATTTTATCTTAATTTCATAATTCGCCCATGCTAACCAAATCAGAGATAAAACAGGTGATTAAACACACTTTTACCTGTGAAAGTTAAAAGAAGTCGAGCCAAACTTTCTACACACATCTGAAGCAGGTCAGATGTGTTTAAACAGATATCTACCCCCTGTGCACAGTGAACAAAGTATGCTGCTGTTCAATCAATACTACCCCGTGTAACTTATCTTAGTGGCTCAGTACTACATCAAGTGCTTAGTACTTGCAGTGCTGAAGAACCAAGTTTTCCCTGAACACCTCCACCTTCAGGGTGATCAATACACACTGGGAATACATGCAGGCTTTTTCCTATTGCACTCCCACAATCACACACTACAAACAGGGCATCACCATAAAAGCAATTTCAATTCTCGTAAGTGCTCAGCTGTTTACAAATTTGAATGCCATATTCAGTACAAATTTATTCAAGGATACATGAAATGTGATATCAAAGCTTAAACTAGATCAGGATTTCCTTTAGTGCTACTTTTGAGGGTTTTTGATGTGCTTTTTTTTAAAAAAATGACCTCTTTTCTACCACAGTGAGTAATGACTATTAAGCAACGAAAACCATCCCCTTTCCTTTTTTCTTTCTTTTTTTTAAAATCATTTCTAGAATAAGATCAATGCTTCATCTCCAAGTTCCAAAATTAATGAAAAACCTTTATGGTATGCTGCCTGTAATGCATTATGAGTTTGTTTTGTTATGAAAAAATGATGAAGATGATGCTTTTTAGAATATGGTCAATTATGACTTCCTCAACAATGTATTGAAACCCATCAGACATCACCCAATCAGTATGTGATGATCATCAACCATTTTCACCACCACATAGTGTGACAGAAGCTAAAAAAAAAAGGTAACATTAAAATATGTCATAACTTGGAACCTTCACAAAAATCCTCACACTCCTTAAAACTGTGACACTAATGTATTCCTTTGTCTTTCAAACAAAAAAATCCACTCTGAAAAAAATCTGAGATTTGTTCCCTGAAAAGTATTGATTGGTAAAGAGCTCTAAACTGATGTGAAGGCTGACATTTAAGTCCCATTCACATTATGACCAGTTGTACAGATAAATGGAGAATTAGGTCAATAATCAAATTTTTGAGATAGCGTGAGCACAGGCTAACCAAGGATGAACTGAATTTCTGACAGGAAATAAACCCCAAGATTTGCTGCATTTTCTTTAATCATTATGGACTCAAATCTGGCAGTGAGAAGCTCTTCAAGCTTACAACAATGAAAAACCATGACTTTCATTTGTATATAAGCTGATTACACAACTCAAGTTTATAAATGGTATATGCACAAAACAGATTAAATACATTGAACACCTGCAAAAGTGGGGGCACAATTGCTCAGCTGAGATAAATGTCCACGTGGCAGTTTCAACACGGATCGGTTGTTTAGTCAATGCACTTTTTCTGAAGCTTACATATCTCATATACACTCGGCCAAAAGAGTTCAGAAAGATGAAAGTGCTTTTCAATAATTAAAAAACTATGTAATGGAGTTGTAAAGTCTTCAGTTATATAAAAAAAAGTCATAAACGGTAGATAAATTTCCATTAATATTTGGTTTAAATATTGATCTTAGCTCAAATGTTTACTTTCTAATTATTCGAAATAACAATGCTTCCCATTTTATTTTCGTTGAGTGCATATAGGCTAAGAGATTTTTTTAATATCCTCATGAAAAAATGCCGTCAGATAATAGCACAAAAGGACCTTCTATGAGTAATTGGGGGAGGGGGATTATTTTGAATTTTTTACAAACCTCCAAAATTCAAAATGCTTTTATGTGAAAGAAATATAACTGAACTCCTGTAACTACATGCAGAAAATACTCAATCTTATTTTTAAATAAAAATTAAAGATTTTAATGAGGGACCTTAACATGCAATTCATAGATCTAAAAACACATAAAAAAACAAATGAATCAGATACAGACAGCAAAATGTGCATGTGCATACACTATGAGAGAATAATACAAATTCAAACTACGAAAATTTAAGCTACTGGAATGAATTCACATGTATCTCAACAATACATCTTCCCAATCAATATTGCAAGAATCTGAAACATTTTGAAACCACATTATTCTTTGGACTGTAACCAAGGGGAAAAAATCTTTTGAAAATGATTGATTAACCTCAAGATCAAAGACTTATTCATTTGAAAAGGTTATCACAGAAGTGCTTATGTCATAGATTTTATACAGTTAACAAGAAGTTAAAACAATAACATGAAGTATCCTTCATATTGCATTCTGCAAGACGAACTTCACTTATTGGCACTTATATGTACTAGTACATGGAAAGCCTTAAATAGTTGCTCATATGATCATGCCACTGTCTCAACAATTATCCAAGGATATATAAAAATTTTGTTTGTGAACATAAAAACACAAGGTAAACTTTGAAATTTATATGAGCCAACCCAAATGTTATTGTAAATGCATCATAATTATTATTACTATTATGAGGACATGTCCAAAAGGATATATTCTTTAGGGTCCTCATAGCTAAAATATACTCCTGGTTAACTGCATCTGTCAAAAATAAGACTTGGCAAACTATCATTCACCATGGCTTTCGTGGTACTGTCAGGAACTTTATTCTCAAATGCAAAAGCTCTTTAATGGCTACACAACTTAAAGGGATAATAACTCTTTGTATGAGATCTATATTTCACAATAAAAACATTGTGAATAACTCAAAGAAATATAATATATTCTGTTTTACCACAAAAACGGCAGTTATAGCTATTATTCTGATTTTTGAGCTTGTCTTTAGACCACGTGACCCCCATTGATGGCAGTACTCTGTTAAAATCTCTTAAGAGATTTTAACAAAAAACCAAACTTTTTAGAAAAAAACCAGAGACTAACTTTGAATGTAAAAATGGATTCATTAACCATTGGTAAGTATGGGAAAATTGTTGTGTACTCCAGGAAAATTCATTTTTTGGCCGAAACGAAGAGTTATTATCACTTTAAGTAAAACAGCAGAGCTGTGTTAAAAATAGGGTTTATGTGCCAGTACCCTGTCAGAATGCAGATGCATCATTCATAATGCGTGCCCCTAAAACGGGTCATCGAATCTATGACTTTTAAATAGAGTCAATGCCTAGAGCTCATGTTATAGTGCAGTATTAACTTCCTGTGTCAGAAAAGAATACAAAGATTTAATGAGTTTATGTGGAATAAGAGATGATTCAGTGCGAACATAATGTGATATAGAGCACTTAAACACTGAGTGATATATATTTTCAATCAATGAAAATGCATCTAGTAATTAAAAGTTTATTTAGTTTGTATTCTGATTCTATCTTGAAGGACTGATCATTTCTTTCATTTAAATAGTTTGCATAGCTTTAACTTACGTTCCCTAGTATGAATATTTTTATTCAATAAGACTCATTAGAGAAATTAACTTTTATTAGTTTTAATGTATTTTTATACTCAGAGTGCCAAGGAAATTAATGGCTGTATCACTATTCTAATTGATTTCAATCTGAGCTACACCTGAGGACGACAAATATCTAACGTGGTCGCAATTTATACGTAAAAGAATTCACCTAATGAAGATGAGCTTAAGCCAAGTTAATGTCAGCTGTACATACTAGTACACGTCTTGCCATTGACTAACTACCATAGTCTCTAATAAAACTACACTCACCTCGCCTCTGTCGAATACCACTTTAAAGTAAACTATGACCATAAGCCAAATTATCACAAATACTAGGAGGATTTTCGTATTCCGACGCATTTCGGAGGACAAACACGTGCATCTGTGACAAAACACATCTGATCAAACTCTGGCCAACTTTCCAACGTCCTGCCACACTGACGTCGTGACGTCCACGCGCACCATTTATCGTCCTCACTTCATTAGAGAGTTCATCTTGACGAGGTGGTTACACACGCCGGTTAGATTGCATTTGTTGAGCAAAACAATAGATGTGCGGCCATCAGTCACAGCTGTCGCATTGCAAGACCAACTACTGTTGAAGAATTTGATACATTAATCTGCCACTGTTCTCAGAGAATTTTCAATGATCATCTTACTACCTCTTCAAAAAAAATTAAAGCATTCATTTAGTGCTGCCCCCCAAGTTAAAACATTAACATAGTCCATTATAAGCAAATAGGACTTTCTTGAGCTTCCATTGTTTATTCAGACTAATGGATTTGCATTACAAACAAATATTTCCATGGCACCAGAGTGAAAAATACTTTATTTACAATAAAACATTCTCATACAGTTGATGTCTCAGAGTTATTGCAATATGTTTATTGTAACCTTGAGTTCTTTGCTAAAGCAGAAAATGTTGCACACATCCAATTGCCATTAGCCAAATACCTTACATTTATCCATGAATTATATTATTGAGCAACAACAATAGTTAAGACAGAACAAGAAACAATATAAAGTTAATTTGTATTAAAATTCTATGTACACCTTACTAGTCACTCTTTTATATATCAGTCAGTAGTCATCAAATAAGTTCATGATGCTCTCAACATCAAGTCTTCTTTATTGCCTTCTGCCCTGATCATTCACGAAGTTTAACATCATCTCTACTTAGTATGTCACTTGTCATTTGTATGTAAAACATAAAAAACTAGCAAAGGAACATGTGATAAAGAGATGAGCCAACTCAGCAAAGAATAACTATACTTATTGTTTTTTCTTCCTTTTTACAAAGTTATTTATACACTTATAAGAACCACATATATACATCCCAGTGGTACTTTTTCAACAAAGTTCTATTTAACAACCAGTAATATCAGTCATTACACACAGGTTCCAACCTTCAAAATTTTTAAACTCCGAAGTTTTTAAACACAAGTGTATCTTTGTAACTGGCGACAGGTCAACATATCAAACCCTAAATAACTTCATACTCCATTGGCAAATAACTTATGAAACCCATTTTTATCAAAAACATCCAGATATTTCAAAACAGGCAAACCTATTCAAACCCAAGAATGAAAAACCTCTTACTTCTCTTATAGAATAAACTTGTTCCGCTGTAGTAACTGAGAAAAATCACCCACTTTAAAAAACGTGTTGTTCCACAACTTTATATCAGTCAAAAAAATTGAGAATGCCTTAGAACAATATAAACTGTAATGCTTTTTATATCTAAAAAATAGCCATAACTGCAACTGTGGCAGACTAATGGTGATGTCCCAATGACAATATCAGAGGAAGCAGAGCCCCTACCACCATTAAAACAAGTTCTATTAATCTAAATCCTTTTTGTTCTCTCACAATGACGCTGCCGTCGGCAGCAGTAGTCCTTGTGGTCATATTTGCAATCTCAGGAAGGACATGCACTGTGGCTACGTAGAGGAATGTCCCAGCACTAAACAACATTGCTAAACCTGTGGCATTCACTGAAGACAGGGCTTCTTTACTTTGCTGCAAAGGTGAAAACATCAATTTACACGTTTTCTTAGGCAAACTGTTAATAAATGTCTTCAGAATGGTTAAGTTTTGTAAGAAAATTGTTGAATTAAGACAAATGACAATATTTGATTAAAGAAATTTATTTAATGGTTTAATTGTGCCCCTTTACAATGATGCAACCAAAATACTTCTGTGAAAGAGAGATACAAGCACGGAATCTCAAACTGGTTATGCTACCACTTACCCCACTTAATCCAAAGAAAGTAATTAAAGCTAGAACTGGTGCTGCTAATGAGAAGATGAACAAATGTTTTCGTATCCTGGAACGTTCAAATCCTTCATGCAGGAGAAAAGATACCAGACCAAAAGCTGCAGGAGCCTGGAAATACAGTTGTTGTAACTGATTACGAAGTGTATTCTGTATATATATATATATGATATTACTTCAATTACAGCAATATGTGTGTGCATGCACATGTGTGCGTGTGCATGTATGTATGTATGTATGTATTTTCATATGTATTGCACCCCATTTCAGATAAACAACATTAATTTTATCCTATCCTGGATTTTTATGCAATATATAATTTTCTCCTATTGAGGCTATTCATGAATCATTAGTCTACTGGCATGAAGTTGCAAGAAACCAATACTTTTAAGCAATTAAAATTGGACTCTAAGGCTCAGAAGGAAATAGTGCCATCAGGTACTCTACAGATAAACTTAAAATTTTAGGGGTTTTATCGTGTTTAAGGTTTGGATAGGAAAAGATAAAAAGCTTTGCAGAATATGTGCAAAAATATAACTTTAGGAAAATATAACATGTGTGCAGGATAGCTGTAATTCATCTGTGGTGAATTTTATTCAAAGTAGAGATGGGGGGGGGTGGGCTGTTAAATTTAGTGTGTGTGTGTGTGTGTGTGTGTGTGTGTATGTGTGTGTACTATGTGCAGTGCACAGAAAATTACCTTGTGTAACATAATTGCAATAAATACTATCATTTCAACATGAGTCTGTGATGTGGAGGCTGCAGCACCAAGGGCAATACCATCAGCTAAAATGAAAAACAAACAGCATACACAAAATGCCTATCAATATACTTTAATTTTGAGATCTGCATACAGAGGAAATAAGCCAACCTGAATAAAGACCCATCTCATCAGGCTGACTGCAAGCAGTTTAACATAGGATGCCAATGGAAATCATCTGAGCTTAAATGAGGCCTTCACCACTGTCTGATGTCGTACGAGACCAGGAAAAAGCATGCAAATATCCACTTACTGTGGGGTTTACTTTTCAGCAATAAGGGTGAAACTCTATTGCCTGGAGTATTTTCTTAGAAAGCAATTCAAAAGTGTCACTCAAAACATGGTGAATCTGTAGTTGTGTGACAGACTTTAATTCTACATAACTTAAAATAAAACCAGAAAAATACCCATGGCACTACATTTCTTTAATCTTACTCTCCCGTAAATCTCCAGAAATCTTGATTTTATGCCAAACAGCTATATTGAACATAAAATCAAGATTTTGCTGGATTTACAAGATTATTAATTCGTGAGACTTCTTGCTATCTCATATGGTGGTTGGTAGGAAAGCAGAATGGTTACATTTGCTCATTACAATGAGCTAATCATGAATACCTAATAAGTAAGCTCCACTCATTTCCGGTATCAGTAAGTGTATGCAAAAATAAAGCCAAACAGCTTTATAATTACTAGAAACAGATTTAGACAATGCCACAATGCTAGCAATCTCGCATTATAAATAATAAGGTAAAAGAATTCAACATTAACAGTTTGACCAAGTTTAGATTACTAACCTGCAGCATGAACAACTAAACCTAATGTTGCTGTAATTTTCTTCCTGCCATTACTTCCTGAAACTGACTCCAGGTCTGTAAAGTATGACAAACAAAATGAAAGATTGCAATTACGATAAGTTGGTTTAAATATTCTCAGCTTTAAATCAGTTCGTTTATAAAATGCAAATGGTACATCAATAGCATAAATGAGTTCTTTGCACTTCCATGCAAGTTCAAATTTATTGTTTTACTTTATAAAGGTAATGATTGTGCATTATTTATTCTAGGGGAGAATTCTACTGTCTTGGATGTTTGTCGACATCAACTAGATCACTTCAGGTTCACAGGAGAATCAATACTTATTGTGGCCTTACCAGATGAACCACCATGACTATGTCCACCGCTGCCCAACTGGTCCACTAATAACATGAACACAAACCCAAGCACCAGAGCAACACCAATCAAACTATGCATTTCCATCCCATGGCTATGTTCATGCTCTTCTGAATGTGTATGTTCTGCATGCTTGTCTGCTGCGACTTGGGCTACCTCTTGAAGCACATGTCGCACAGCCTGCCCATGTCCTGTGTGAGATTCATGTTTATGGAGTTCACTCTCTGCAAAAGATGGCATTGTTTCAACCACTGTTTTCTTTATCTCTTATTGTTTATAGAATATTCCAATCAGTTTTTTATTATTGAAATTGACACAAAAGCTCAACAAAGTTTATGTTTTGTTGTATTATACACCAATGAAATATACAGCTGACTTGACTTGCAAAATCAAATGCTTTAGCTATTCTGCTGGCTTATGAATTAATCAGTGAAATACATTATATCGATAGCATTTCATAATTATCTTTTTAAAAAATTCAATGCAGTTCTCAACGCCTATAAGATAAAGGTAATGATCCATTTCTTTTATACATGTATATATAATTATATTTATTTATTTATTTTAATTAGAATATTCCATAATAAGAATAATATTTATTTATTTTATTATTTATTCATTTTTTATTAATTAATTAATTTTTTTTTGCTGTAATTACCATATAAAGTATGAACTCCCTCTGGAATAATGACAGCTAATGCTGTCCCTACAAGAAGACCAGCTCCTAGAATAGTGACCAACTTCAACTTATCCTGAAATTTAAGAGAATAAAATTATCATGATGTAATATTAATTACATCTCTGGTTGCTTTGAGAATTTACTCATAAAGAGTCTCAAAGTAATGATAAAAGAAACAAATGCACCACATTAATATTGGTACCTGCCAATGAGCTCTCATGATAATAATTATGACAACAACAGAGAACAGAATACCACTTACTGGCTTATTTGTATCTATAAGTTTAATTTATGACTGTTTTCAGTATGACAATCATCAGGTCTAAATATGTTACTGACTTGGAAATGGAATAGTCCTACTTTATATGAAGCACCTATTAAATATATGGCAAAATTAGCCCATGTTTTGCATTATTTAGGAAAATATTATCTAGTTCAATGTTTGGTCCTCCAAATTGTAATGTAACTTGGAATACCGCTTTTCTCTCACAATGCCACTGTGTTTATGGACTTCATTTGTGTATTGTGCACTTTTATAATAAAATGGGATTTTACATCTTTTTAACACTGAGTTAAGTTTTCAAAACCTGTGCATTTTTAAACAAAGGCAGAGAAACATTGTGAGTTTGCGTTACCAATGGATAAAATACATTATGTTGGCATTAGTACGTCAATACTCACACACCATCACCGGCACTTTTTCACTGTCACAAATATTTAGAATATATGAAACTGGTTTTAAATAAACGTCTAGTGTTCTTTGCATTAAATACACATGTAATTGATGAAGGACATACGACAACGCTCATTCATTCAGTCGGCGTCATGACACACAGACAGGACGCTGTCTAACGTCAGAACTAAGGTGACTGACTCAGTGGCTGCCAACACAACAACTATATACTACCAATGTACCAGCATACGTGCAGTACAAAATAAGACAGAACATGACAAATTATTTAAAGTTCTCACCTCTGACAGGGTAAATGCTAATGGAATGGATCCAGATACATAACAACCTATTAACATTGCAAGCGATAGCAAGATCACTCTCCATGTTTCGTTCATTATTTGTTCACATGAAAATCAAGGGGCACCTGTAATAACCGCATTCAGCATTACCGTCGGTAACAATGTGTCGTGGCCGCTAGGTGTCGATAGTTATCTTCCGCTTCAAATAAAACATTGGAATTATTTCAAATTTAAGTAACAGTACAATATGAATTCTGAGTCTTGGAATTAAAAAAATACCACCAAATAAACTCCAACCGAATTATACATCTTAGTGCTTTTAAAATTACCACGTGTTCACGTAAAATCTCTAGCTCGCGATTGCACGCCATTGCTCTGCTGAGTTTAGATTCTTTCGTTTTGTGGTAATATTAATCAGGTGCTGCATTCTATAAAGCGACTATGGTGAGTACATTTTGCAATTGCTGGCGTTAACCAACTGAGGACGAAGAGTGTGAGATATATTTTAATTGTTCACTTTAATTGAATACTATATTGCTTTCAGCTTAAAAAGGAACCACTTTGGCATTGTAATCTGTATTGTCAAATGTTGTCATGCACGGGTCATACACAGTTTCTCCAGAATGTGGATATTATTATGTAATAATTTATAATATATATATAATATAATATAATGTTATGTAAGGCTGAAACCTGAGGCAAACCTTACCTGCACATCAGATGATCTCAGGCTATGTACATCATGATCCTACTCAGTTTATATATTCTTTCAGTGTCAGCAAAGATATCTCTGTTCCAGAATGATTCTGACAGAAGTATCCTTGTTTCAGTCCAAGTTTGTGTGCTATCCCATCCTGGAAAGGGAGGGGGTGCATCATGGTTCTGATAATATTGATTTGTTTTGCCTTTTCAGTCCCACACAATTCTTTTGATTCAACCTACAAAGAAACCAGATAGTAGGACATATTCAGATTATGAATCTATCAATGAGTGTCTAGAAGGTAATGTTATTTTTTGTTTTATTGAAATATTCACTTTTTATAGTAAGAAGTAGTCTTTGAATTTTATGCTCATATGTAAGTCTAGTGAAATTATTGCTTCATTCATAATATGTATTCATATAGAGTGGACTTAACATAACTCAGATACTAAGAGGAAAACCTGTACCAGTTAATTTGAGATTTAATTTTGGCAAAATATATGTTGATTTCAGCTATTACCAAAGACAATTAAAATTTTCCAAAAGATTTGTATCAGGTAAAGAAAAAATATGAAAAATGACAAGTTCACTGGAGTTTGTTGCATTTGATATTTATGAAATTTTTGTCCACATGTTAATATATGTTGATGGATAAACCATATTATTCCAGGCATTTGTAAAATATATGAAGAACATCTTAAGAAAGCCCATCCTCAGAGTCCATCCATTACCTATGACATCAGCCAATTGTTTGATTTCATTGACCAGCTCCATGATCTTAGTTGTTTAGTGTAAGTATCAACTAAACATTTTATCTTGATTAAACAGAGCAGTTGAACTGTAATGGGGTTAGAAATCTGTGTGTTGCAGATCATACACTTTTCAGTCTATCAAAATAGCCATTGAGTACATATGAATTCCTTATAACCAATAAAAGAAAAAAATTATATGATTACTTTACACAAAGACTGACATACATAGATTTCCTTAAATAAAATTTTTTAGCTGTTCAGCAGTTGTTTTGATAAAGAGTGTTTATTTTTTAAATTATTTATTTATTTATTTATTTATTTTTCATACAAAATTAGGTATTCTGCCTTTTTGAGTGACATCCAAGATATTGTCTGCAATTTCAGGTTTCAGAAATCCAGTACAACATATTGCCCCAGAAATAAAGATTGGATCAAAGAAAAGATTTACATCATGCTGCGGAAACAAGCTGGAAAATGAACAAACTCTATAATTTCTGAAGTGTAAACATGAGATATTGTTTAAGTTTCAAGGCAGCAATGAAAAAAGGAAATATTAGGAGGAAGTCCTGCTGGTCTCCTGTCATGCTGGCCCTGTAAACTTGTAAAAAAAAAACTTTATGAAAATAGTATGTAGCCTTTCTTTTGATAATTTATATCTTATCTCGTAAAGATTCGCATCTTTATTGTAGTCTCATTTGTTCGTCAGCCTTGTGAGATGACCTTTTCTATGAAATTCTGATGCAAGTATTCTCAAGGTAAATAAAGATACTTAACTTTGGAGAATAATCCAAACAGCATTTTTAAATAACTTGAACCAAAGTTGACCTTAAACCAAATCGAAACTGAACTGATTTTTAACTAGGAAACCTCTGGAGTTGACACATAATGGTTGGTTTTATTGTATCAGAACCTTATGCTGCTATAACTGGAACTAGATGAAAGGAACCTGAGGAATTTTCCCTATAGTATTTCTTAGAAAGTAGACTTTGAAAGAATTTATTTTATATAAAGGGGTTGTCTCTCAACAACATTCTGTATGCGATGGTAGTACATAATGTTTTTATTCTTCAGTTTGGGAATCTGCCCACTGTTGGATCTTTTAGAAAGTAGCATCATATAATTGTAATTAATCTTTTTCGTGTTGTGTTGGTATTGTCATGTTAAAGTGAATAAATTAGGAAACTCATCTTTTATTTCAAAGCTGTCATTTAGTGATATTTTAAAGTAAATAAAAAGGCAATTTCATGTGATGCATTTCAGATTTGCCTGCTTCCCCTCCTGTGCAAGGCACACGTATGGTGACTTAATATAAAATGCATTGTACATGCACGTTACAGCCAGGGAGGTTCATATACCTCTTTTGGGGTGAATTTGATTACTCTATATATATATATATATATATATATAT